AAAAACTGGTAATATAGACCAGTCATTCAGTTTTGTATATTTTAGGAGTCGAAAATTTTTGTAAGTTTTTGATGTAGAACAAAAAGGAACCAAAAACTTTAATGTATTCACAAAAATTAAAAAAAAAAACACAAGAGAAAAGAATAACAATACAACCAGGAAAAAAAATAACAAAACATATTTTTTAATTTAGAGTCAAGTGCCATTAAAAAAAAAGTGTCAGTTTTTATTATACTTTATTTTCTATACTTCTAATTTATATAATAAAAATAAAATTAAATACAAGAAAATTTAAAAAATTATTCCTTGTTAACTGTAAGATATAATAAAATTTTTGGTAATATTGTAATATTTATTGTGACCGGTCTCTTTACGTGGTCATACATTTAATTTTCCTTAATACAGGATAATAGGTTTCAGTATTGTCCGGTCTAACAATATATGTACTACGTTACCCTATTCAGATAATATAGTGTAACGTAACATACTGTCCGGTTATTTTGGAAATTTTGAAAATATGCATTTTCCTTAATAACTTCGACCAAGTTTTAATTTTCTTTTAAAGTTTTTAGTGTATAAAACTTAAATATCTAAAAATGGATATTATATATTGTACTCCTACACTGTATTCATTTGTCTAGCTTGTCATACGGCAGTGCTCTTTGGATTTCCTTCGTGCGTACAACTAACTCATTGTATACATATGTACATAATTTTATATGTTATGCATAATTATTGACATAAAATTCCATCTCTCACAGAACATACATATACATTCATAAATAAACAATACATATTAACTCGTTCATTTTTTAGCCAACAACACATATTAGCCATTTCAATTTTTTTCCTATGATAATCAAATATTTTTACCTAAATCTTGAATATTTTGAGTACAATTGATTTTAATAATAAATACTTAGCCGTATATTTGTGTAGGTACACAGTTAAATTTGTAAAAAAATTAGATGCTCTGTTACGTCAATGTCAGTCAATGTCAAAATGCTGAACGACAAATGAATTCCATGATACCATTAAAAAATAAAATTACCAATCCATTAACAAAGTTAATAAAAATACAATGTAAGTTCTCATTTTCTTATTCTTATTTTTTTTCTTTTAATTTCTTCTTTCACTAACATTATTTTATTTTTTATTTTCATTCGCCTCTCAATTGCTAAACGTACCAATAATAATTTTTAAGGTCGACAAAACAAGTCAATAAAAGGCAATATTAAGAAAATGAGAAACATAAAATGGAAAAAAAAAAACAATGAAAATGTTTTACACAATAAAGACAAAACATAATTTTCAAAATAAAAATTCATAAACATTTTTAAAATAAAATAAGAAGAGCAACAACATTCACATACAATGCAGCACAAACAAAATACTCATTCTCTAATAATAACAAAAGCAAAGATTTTAAAGTGATTGACTTCGTTTTTAAGATCGAGACTCGAAAGAGCGTAAAAAATGTTTTTAAATTACTTGGTTTTGATTATCATTTATTTTGCTCCATATTTTAACGGATTGAACAGTATTCACATTTCGAGACTCGATCTTCAATTATATGCAATTTTAGAATAAAATCGAAAAATTATTTTCTCTCATTATTGTTTTTCTCAATTTTCAATTCTCGCTCTTTATCTCTTTCTTTTATACTTTTATTTTGTTCATTATTATTATGTAGAGTATATTTGTATGTACATACATAACATTGTTATTATTTATGAGTTTATGATACTCTATGAATGTTTTTATTTTCACTTTACTAATACAATGCTTTTTCCTGAATTACATTTCCGTTTCACTAACCGTACAGTAATTACAATGTCCTTATGATATTTTATAGTTGAATGTCAGGTGCTTATTTCATACTTTGGCTTCTTCGTTTGAAATCGTTTGTTTTTTTTCCTTGTTTTATATCGAATTCAATGCTAACCATTGGATATAAAAATAAAATTTATTTGCAAGGAATTTTTTATATTAACCTTAAAATTTTTTTTTTAAACCTCATTGTCTTTCATACATAATTTATAGGTATATAAAGGATATTGTATAGTGCACTTCAAAATCAATACTATTATAAATGTCTTTGACAAATTTCTTGGACAATAAAATTTTAAATACTTAAAGTGAGAACGAGCGAGGAATTCAAATGGTCTGAAATTGACAATTGAAATTTACCTACAACAACCACAATCAAATATTATGCAGTGTTAAACTGATTCTAGAAATAGAGACAATGTTCACACTGCACAAATATTACGATATTCTTAATGAATTATATTTTTTTTATACACTTACGGCTTTCAATTCCTATAAATTATATAAATAAGGCAGTCTAAATAAAACTGAAAGGAATTCTGACTTAAAAAAAAATCGTAAGTCAAAAATTAAATATGCGCATAAATAAATTTATTCCCAATTCAGTAAAACGAATAATAATAAATCTAATTGATAATAATGAGAATATGGGGCCTTGTTCGATTATTCTAATGAATAATATTTCATTTGTACATAAACTATTCAATTATAGAATATTTCTATCTTATTGAAGATTCTCTGCTATTTATATACATTATACTTATTATAAATCCCTGAATGATAAATTAGGTTACGGTTCCAAACTTCACACATAAATTTATTTTTTCTATGAATTCCACTTCTTATTGAAGTAAAACCTAGTATCACGCTATAAGTTCTATGTCGTGAGTGTATGTATTTGTAGTATATCCAATATTTTCAATTAGAACATTAATAATATATAAAATTTTCATAACACATCCAGCATATCCCAAAAATATTACAATGAAATATCAAAAATTATAATATTATTAATATATATCTTTTGGAATTTCCTAATAAAATACAAGCCATTATTGAAATTATCTTATCATAATCCCCTAATTTCAGAAAAAGAAAAAACCAATAATCATATATAACTTTTAATGGAAATTACAATAAAAATTTCAAATTGCTCAATATTGCACTTTAAGAGTAACTTTTGCTATAATCTACGTATTTTTCTTTTCAATATTTCAAATTTGGTGTTACACATATAACGATTATCGTAATGAACAAAAGGATATTATTACATATTTTGCTGACCTAGCAAAATATGAAAAAAATCCTGCAAAAGAAAAGCAAAACAAAAAGATGATAAAGTGATTGCTATCATTTTTGTAATTCAAAAGTATTTTTTTTGTGTGCCAACTTAAAGCTTTAAAAACAATTTATTTTTCCAGTTTTATCTCTTATACACTTAGAAACGTGTATAGACTGTAGTACCATCAACTAAAAATGAATCATCTCCAAAGATATGTATTTTCTTAAAATATGGTTATCCTCTTCAATATATGTATACATCTATACATATTTTACACACTTTTATATACAAAAATATAAAAATAAAAATGAGAAAATGTGAAAAGTAAAAGAAAATAGAAAAATGTCTGGTGCCGTCTTGGTGTCGCCGCAACAATTTTCAAACAAATACGTCAGGATATTGAAAATAATATTTATAAGGACCTTTGCAAAAAAAACAAAAGCAAAGAAAAAAAACGAACATTGAAAAGAAAAATGCATAAAATAAAAATAACAATAAAACGAAAAAAAAATTTGATTGTCACAAACAAGGGGCGCGAGTATTTTCTTCTTTATATGTTAAATTGTACAATTGCAAAAATTTTACGGGGAAAACTTTGTTGTATAGTTTCCGTTATAATCGATAAATATCACCCATTATTATAATTCAACAAACTCAATATTATACAATTTTTGGTAATACAAAATAGCATAAAATTAGAATTAAACGAATTAAATTGAGCGAAAATTTTTTAAAAAATCAGTTATAGTGAACCAAATATGGTTCGTAAATTGAAAAATCATACATAAGTTTTATTTTAAAAGTTATAATTATATAATAAAGATGTTAGAGGATCAGATTCTCTCATATGCGAAGCAGAAGAGTGAAATATATCGACTCAATGGGTACCGGCGTTAAATTACTAAGCTGGTACATATTGAGTAAATATTCCAGGGAATCATTCTAATCGATTGAAAAAATATTGCCGAATTCGAAATAATGAGAAACATGAAATTGGTAAAATAACGAATATTATGAGTTCCGAATTCGAATGACGATAATTAAGATTATAACCAATCTTTTTTATAGTAACGTGTTTAAATAGTGTTCTACCAGTGTGCAGAATCATATTACAGTTCATTATTTACTCAATTTACATATCAAGTTTCATTGACCTATTCTAAAATAATCAACTAAACAATTAAAAGAATTATTTTTTTTTTTAAAATTTAACTCAAATTATTAAAACCCCTGACCTCACATTTAAAATAACCAAAGAAAAATAAATGAAATTGTTTGTGTGGACATTATAAAAACTCCGCAGTAAAATAAAAAAAAATTTCAAAGAAAAATTAAATAAAACTCAAAAAAAAAAAATATAAAAAAAATTTTGTATAATAAAGTATGACAAAACGTGAAAAATAAAAGGAAAATCAAAGAAAAACTCCAACATTATTTTGATAAATTTTAAACGCAAAACAAGAGTAAAAAAAAAAACCATTTCCCATAAAAAAGATCATAAAATTAACCATTTTGCAGACTGGCATCCCGCCAGTCGCAGTCATTTTCCAGTCAAAACCATGCATAAAGAAAATAATAAAATAATTTTTCTTTTCCTTTTGAATTTTGTTTTTAATTTCTGTACTAATATTAAAACAATTATTAGACCTAGCTACTCTAGAAAAGTAAGATTTTCTCAACCCCTAGAAATACACAAATTTATACAATTAATATAATAATTTGTAAAGTCAAGAATTGTACAATATTCCCTATTAATTACTCGTATTATTGTTGTCATTTTTGCCATCATTATCAATCCTCAAAAGTAAAGCCGTTGATTTGGAATAACTGTATAATTTTTTTCACAAATAACAAAAAATTTTATTTAAAAATAAAATATGAACAAAAAGCAAAGAAAAATAATCATAAACGAGAATCGAACTTGGTTCCATGGCTGCTGCTATGGCAATAAAATATAAGAGAATTTTATAAAATAAAAAAAAATTTCAAATGTAAGAGTATAGCAACATAGTAATAGCCAGGAACAACAAGACAGATGGAAATAGATAGTTACAAAAGGGAGAGAGAGAGAAACAATAAAAGAGAATTTTCTTATTATCTCATTCAATTATAAGTTCTTTTTTATTTATATTTTTATTTTGAATTTAGTTTTATCGTGCCAGTTGTTGAGCTAACAACAATTTAATATTAGGGATTACGGGAGGAAAATTGTAATTTTTTTTTTTTTTTTTTATAAAAACGAATTAATAAAAAAAATTTCCGGTATAACAAAGATCGTATTATTTCGTTTAATTTGTTGATCATTAAATTTTTTTTACCGGTATACAAATATTTTATACTTTAGTTGAATTTGTTGCATTAATTAAAATTTTGGTAAAACTTACGCAGGATATTCGTTTTTTGTGTGAAAAATTTTGAAATTAATTGCTATATTTAATTTAAATTAATAAAAAAATTACAAACAATTGTAGCTATTATAAAATTCAGTTGAAAATTCACAAATTCTATAACAAAGTAATGTGAAAAGCTTAAGAGTTCTGGATATTTGCATTAAAATTAATATAGAGCTATAAATGCATGAAAAATTTAAAAAATACAGAGTGCAACCACACCTATGTGTATATAAAATGTTAACTAATTTTAAAAATATTACCTTTTGTGTATAAGTAAATTATAAGAATAAATTATCGAGAACGAAAAATGACCGCTATCATTTATTAAAAATTGTTACCGTTAACAAAGTAGTGAAAATACATATATCGATTTTTAATATATCAATTAAACAATTACTCAGTATAGCTAGCATAAATTGAAAATATTTAAAATTAAAAAAAAAATAAAAAGTATAACGGCGCGCCGGTGCATAATAATTAAACCAGAGGTGATCGAATGATTTTTTTTTAATTAATGAAAATTTAAAAAGAATAAAAAGAAAAATATGAAAATTGTGAACTCAAAAAAGAAAATAAAATATCGTAATTGATAATTCTAGTTTTCAAAATATTAAAAAAGGTGAAATTTTTTTTGTCCAAATCATTATTTTTTTCTAATTAGCTTTTAAAGAAAACAACTTGATCAATAATAATTAATAATATTATTGATGTAGAAAAGATTGTAAGCATTTTAATTAATTTTACGATATTATTAAATTATAAAACATGAGTACTTAATATTTGTTTTTAAATAGAGAATTTTGTATCTTAAATATTTATAATTAATTTAATTAAAATTATTCTTCATTAAATAGTGTTAACTGTTAATTAAATTGTAGAATGAAAGAGAAACATACGGAAAACATTTTAATATACACGCAACGTATACGTACGTGTGTACATACCAATAACTTCGTATGTATAACGATCAAGTTGCGTGATATTTAGTATATGTAAATAAAAAAAAAACACATTAAATATTTAAATTAAAAACGGGTTATCAAAATATAACTATATAAATATAGTTATACTTACATTTATTGCATACATACATATATTATATTTACATACATTTTACTTATTTATACATTATGTTTACGTTACTTAAATGCTGCAATGCAATCAAACAAATCAAACAAAATTGAGCAATAAAAAACTTTCTTACACATTTTTATTTAAACACCTTAATTTTAGAAATTCTCTTAAATACGAGTAAAAACATGCATTGGTTTGGTATACCTACTTATACTATACTTTAGGAATTATGTTGAATATAGGTTTACGCAGGTATACAAATATTTTGTGTATACCGATATATGTAGCTGTTTGTGTACATTTGTTATAGGACCTTGAAAATTTGTTTTTAAAAAAAAAAACAATTATAAAAGAGAACAAACAAAACAAGAGAGTAAATAAAAAATAGTAAAAATATTAAAAATATAAAAATAACCAGTTTTTTGTTTTAAATATACTAATAAAAAATTTATTACTAGAAAATTGAGAAAACAAAAAAAAAAACAAATATGGGTGAACTCGTTAAATTCTGATAAAGTCTCTAATAAATTTATGTTCTTGTACATAATTATGCGAAAATCGCAATAAAATTAAATTTGTATAACAAAATTCACTCGATATTGTTAGTACAAGTAAGTAGATTGACAGAAAATCAACTACTTATTCAAACAAAATTATAATAACGGTAGTGTTGGCTTGATATTCATTCGTGTCATGTAACTAAACTAGTTACATGACACGAATGATTATTAGGCGCAAATATATATGTAGCTTATTTTTAGTAAGTGTCTTACTTAAAACTGAGATGGCATGATTTAGACAAAGATGGTGTAGTTTCGACATTATTCTTATTTATGACAAAATGTTGAATAATTAATCAGTTCTTAAATAAATTTGGTTGAGTATTCACTTAAGTACTTATGTACTTAATTCTTATAGTGGAAGTGTTTCTATAACGTAAGGAAGAAGATGCTACCTACATATATACGGTTCTCATTTAAATATAAGTATTTCTCCTTTTAAAAGTTCATGTTTTACAAGTTATAAAAACTGATTTTCAATCAAGTACATATACAATGAATAAAGCAAATTATTTCCGATACAATTCAAGTAAATTTAGTTAAATAATAAATTTTGATTGCTTCGGCTGCTAGGGGAACATACTAAAACCAAATAAGAAGCAAACTAGATTAATTCGGGCAGTTCCAAAATCTAGTTGCTTAAGTATTGTAATTTTGAAGAAGTATGAAAGCCACATAATAATTTAAAATTAAAAAATTAAAAAAAGGGAACAACGTTGCCTTACAATTTAGAGCCCCCAATATATTATGTCTACCCTTAAATTGATAACTTATAGAAATATTGTTCACATGCTTAACATGTATGTTCACATGAACATGTATAACACAATTTTATATGCTTACACATATAAAATTGTGTTATACATGTTCGGTTATAAATCGTTTGTGTAATAATATTTTTTTTTTAATATTTCTTTATATAAGTATTTGATTTTATTACAGTTAAATATTTATGCCTTTATTCTTAGTTATTGTTATTCTTCTATATTTTTGACACAATATTCGAAAAAGTTAATTTAAAAATAATTTTTTTTTATATGCTTATAAGTAATCAAATTTATGGAGTTTATTTGATTATACATTGAATTCATTTATTAGTAATATAGCTCATTATTATTCGAATATCAAGTTTCGAATATAATCAATAAAAAATATAAAGTATAAAATTTGAAACTATTATAATGTAAATTTTATTAGGTCTTTTGATTAAACATGTATACGAACTTACATAATATGTTTAAGAATGGCGATATTAGCATAACTCTATATATAACCCGATCGTATAGGTCTAAGTACATAGATATATTTTAATGTGATATAAAGAAACTATAGTTGCTTTAAGTATATTCAATAGGCACACTAAAATTAAAAATTTCTCACTCTACTTAAATTTTTCAAAAAGATCTTTTGAGTATTTACTTTTCATAATATATAAGAATTAAAAGCTCTACTTACTTAGTGCAGTGAGTCGAAAATTTACTTCAACGATTACTTAAGATACTTTTGTTTTTTATTCTTGTTTCGAAAAGCTAAGCACAAGTTAATCAAATAATATGACAAAATAGCGATAAGATAAAAATTTTGTTTTTGATAATAACATTTTTTTTTTTACTTTATGACATAAAACATAATTAAGAACAGTTTTTAAAAAATAAATAAATCTAATATAAAATAGAAATAATTTATTTAATTATGTCAGTATGAACAAATAAGATTTTAAATATTAAGTAAGTAGATACTTAAATACAAATGTACATACGTGTATAATACATGATACACGATTAATATACAACTGTATTAAATTAATATTTATTTATATAATTAGTCTGCAATAAACTTGGCTAGGTGTTAGATTAACTAAAAGAATTAATATTTGTAGTGCTCGTTTTTATAAAAATTTACAATATTGTTTCAGTCACAGGAAAATTTTCAAATACTTATAATAAAATTCCGAAACCCTTGTCTGATCTTCAAAAATTTCTCACAATGGGCCAAATCCTAAAATCCCAAAACATACTTCCGTAAATCCTAAATACATTTGCAATTAAGACTTCTGAAAATCATGATATTAAGAATCAATTATAGAAAGGCAAATTATAAAACAACGAATTACATAATTACAAAATTGTATTATAAGTACATAACCCTACATCAAACATATGTATATAAATAAAATACATATATACATATACGTTTGTATTTACCTACACAAATAATTTGTAATATATAATTTTTAAAATTTGAAATATGTGCACTCAATTTGTAATTTTTTTTTTTAATATAGAACAGCAAAAATTTGAATAAACTTATCAAAAGTAATTAATTAAAAAAAAAAAAACAGTGGCGCCATTAGCATTTAACATTATTTATAATTTTTATACATTCTATATAATAACGGAAAAACTTCAACATTATAATTAATAATTGCAAGTGGATGTAAAATTTTACACTCAATTAAATCTGTTATGAATATACGAGTATAAAGGTAATACAAATGTATAAAAATATAAGTATAAAAAAAATTTTTTTTATGCAAAAAATGCATTTTATTATAGGTTCCACCTTCATAAACGCAAATTTTGTAATAAAATGTAAAGAGAAGCAGAAATCTAAAAACCCCTGCAAAGCCATGCCATGTTTTTTGTTTTATAATTTTGATAAGAGCTCAAACCTCAAATTTGAATTTTAAAATTATTTTCATGTATTGGCGTTCTAATCAATTTTAATTAAGTGTTACCACACTCATTTGATGTCTTTCTGTAATATTGTATGGAAATCTATGTTAGCTTAAATATCTCTAACGTTATTAGTTTTTTCTTTCAGCGGCAATATGAAAAATTCAAGTATATTTATGTTGGTCTGGGGAAGATTTCGTTGTGTAATCAACGCAATGATTGATAAAGGTTTTTGTAAACTGAACGTATAACGGTCTGTTTATTAACGGAATTTGCATTGTTGATAGGGAAGACAAAGTTGAACTATGCCTGATGCATGGCATCTGGTTTACCAGGAAGTCTACCACTGAATTAGAAATTATTATAGTATGAAAACATAAGTAGTTATAGAAGGTAAAAAGCATGAATATTTCGGAGGTCGATAAGATTGTCTGCCTGATATTTGAAGGATATTGGAGATTTCAGATCTAATACTATTTTAATCATTATGTGAGATTATGTAAAAAAAAGCGCCACAAGCGTTTTGTAATAATTGTTTACCGTTACTCTATGTTGAACTCTTGAATTTAGCGGAATTAATAACTACAAGGAGGTGATGAACTTGCAAAGATTTTTATTCGTGTGAGTGTGCAGAAATTCGGTTTGATTGACTGACCGAGGCCCTTACTGTCTTTATTTTGTTAAATCTTATCGTAAACTAGATATAACAATTTACAATAATTTATTTTACTGAAAACATCTGGCATCAACTTGATAACAATTCTCCTATTTGCAGTTTTTACAAATTATTGCATTACTCATTATATTTTTAATATAAAATAAAAACTATAAAATCAATTATAAGTAAATTAGTTTTAAGATAAATGTTGTTTTTTTAAATTTTTAAATTACAGAATCAGATTTCATTGTATACATGTAACGCGTGTCATTATCCTATTTCGCCTCTATGCCATAAAATTAATTTTAATTTTTTTTTTTGCATAAATTGCATAAAAATGGATCAGAAGCCAAAAGTGTTATCTATTAATAATATTGTTATATACATGCACTTTGTATAATATTTGTGCTTAGTTAACGTATCTATAGATCAACAACATTCAGCAAGAATAATATATAATCTATAAGTAGTAATTTACAGTCATTTATGTTAAAATACGTACAACCACATATACATTATATTTAAAAATCAAAAGACAAAGAGAATAAAATTAATGTTGTCTAATAAAATATTATTTACATTTGCAGTAAAGTACATTTTATGCAATAATTTTATGAAGAGCAAAAAAAAAAACAAAAAAAAAAGAATAAAA